ATTACCATGATAACAAAAAAAAAAATAGACAGTTTTCTGTAGTCTAATGAAAGAGCTCTTGGTAAACGTAGAAATCGTTTGCAGATTAAAGAGCTTTGTTATAACCATTATAACGGAAAAATGGGCATAATTGATGGTTTCTGCAATCCGATCAAAGAGATCTTAATAAATGTAGAAATTTTTTGCTGATTGATGAGTTTGGCTAACCATGATAAAAAAAAAAAAAAAGGAACAAAGTGACGGTTTTTTGTAACGTAATGTAAGAGGTCTTGATAAACGTAAAAATTATTTGCTCATTAATGAGTTTAGCTATAATCATGATTACAAGCAAGAGAGATAAAATTAACCGGCCTTCTGAAGTCCGATTAATGATATCTTGATTAATGTACAAATCATATGTTGATTGATGAGTTTGGCTATAAAAATGATAACAAAAAAAATGAGCAAAATTGACAGTTTTATGCGAGCTCATGAAAAAACTCTTGATAAACGTAGAAATCATTTATTGATGATGATTTTGGCTATATCCATGATTAAAAAAAAAAGCATGAAAGTTTTCTGCAGCCTAACGAAAGAGCTATTGATTAACTTAGAAATTTGCTGGTTGATGGTTTTGCTATAGCCATAAAAAAAATATGAGCAAAATTGACGGTGTTCTACTGTCTAATGTAAGAGGTTTTGGTAAACGTATAAATTATTTGCTGATTGATGAGTTTGGTTATAACAATGATAACAATAAAAGAGAGCAAAATAGACAGTTTTCTACGGCCTGATGAAAGAGCTATTGATAAATGTAGAAATTATTTGCCGATTGATGAGTTTGGCTATAACAATGATAACCAAAAAACAGGAGAAAAATAACGATTTTTTACGTCCTGATGAAAGAGTTTTCAATAAATGTAAAAATAATTTACTGATTGATGACTTTGGCTATAACCATGATAACAAAAAAAAAGGAGCGAAATTGACGTTTTTTGTAACGTAATGAAAGAGCTCTTGGTAAATATAAAAATGATTTGTTCATTGATGATTTTGGCTATAACCATAATAAAAAACAAGAGAGACAAATCGACAACTTTCTGTAGTCCGATGAATGACATCTTGATAAACCTAGATATCATTTGTTGATTGATGGGTTTGGTTACAACAATGATAAAAAAAAAAGAGCAAAAGTGATAGTTTTCTGCAGGTTCATGAAAAAGCTTTTGATAAACATATAAATCTTTTGCATATGATGAGTTTGGCTATTACCATGATAACAAAAAAAAGAAAAAAATTGACGGTTTTCCGCAGTCTAATGAAAGAGCTTTTGGTAAACGTAAAAATAATTTGCTGATTAAAAAGTTTTAGTATGACTTTTATAACGAAAAATGATCAAAATCGAAGATTTTGTGCAGCCTGATGTTAAAGTTATTGATTCGCAGAGAAATTATTTGCTAATTGATGAGTTTGTGGCAATAGCCATGATAACAAAAAAAAAAAAAATTGACGGTTTTCTTCTGGCTATAACAATTGTAACAATAAAAAAGAACAAAATAGATACTTTTCTATAACCTAATGAAAGAGTTCTTGATAAATGTAGAAATTATTTGTTGATTTATGTGTTTGGCTATAACCATGATAACAAAAAAATGAGCAAAATTGACGGTTTTTTGGAGCCATATGAAAGAATTGTTATTAAACGTAATAATCACTTTCTGATTTATGATTTTGGCTATAACTATAATTAGAAAAAAAAAAACAAAAGGAGCAAAAAAAAAAAAGTTGAAAGTTGTGAGTGATATTTTTTATCCTTAAATTTCGTTAGTATGTATTTCAGTTTAACTTGTTGAGATTTAGTTTTTTTTTTTCTAAACTTAATTTATTAATCTTATGGATAAATTCTATATCGTTTAATCAATATTCGTTTTTGTTAATTTTCTGATTTAGTTTTTAATATATATTTTCCATTGTTATGTTCTTTCCAAATAATCGTTAGGTCTACATATACGTATCGCGCGTTTATACCTCATTGGATTGTTTAGCCGAGTAATCTTTTGATATGGGTTCTACAATGATACCTTTTACCTCTGATTCATGTGATGGTGGTTATTTTCATATTGCGTCTCTTAACCCTAACATGGGTGAGTGGTCTGTTTTGGTGAAGATTTGAATTGTTGGTCTGTTTCGCGTGGCTCGGGTAGAGAGCTCAATATGATTTTGGGTGACGAGCATGTTAGTATTTTAATAACTTACCTTCTATACATGTTTTCGATATTAAATTGAATTGTTTTTTTCTTTAACATTTCATTTGCAGTTCACCCAAATTTAAGCCGTTGTTCGTGATGAATTAATTGATAATTATTTTTCAAGATTGATAATCGATGAGTGGGTGAGCATTAAATTTTTTGATGTATCCCGGGTTAACAGCATCTTGAGACCAGTACCGCATAGATTCAAGATTGTGTTTCGTTCGGACACTTTAGTGCAAAGTATTAATATGTGCTCCAGTAGAACCTATTTCAATCTAACTGAGTTTGTGAGTATATTGAGTGGTATTGTTAACCCGAATATTTGCGTTGGTAAGCCTAATTTATGAATTTATTTGTGCTTTTGGAGTTTATTTGCGATTCATGTTCTGACTGTATTATTCATGTGTGTGTTTCATAGATGTTATTGGCAAAATTCTCAACGTGAGAGAGTTGGTTTTTGTTCCTTCCGTGGAACATTCTCAAGGAGGATATTTTGAGCTGTGCTTTGGTTTACGTGATACTGAGTAAGTCACTATTCTTTTAAAGATTTAAACCAGAATATAATGTCTTATGACTTCTTCAAATCTTAAAATTAGGTGTATCCATCTAGAGTGTCGTTTAACGGGTGACCTTGCAGTCGAGTTCTATGACTTATGGAAGCATCGTTCACGTAACACAGTGATATGTATTATCAAGTTTGTGAAATTAGAGCTATCACAGGAACATAGGTGGAGATGTACCAATGTTACCGGATGTACGAGGATTATGTTGAATCCGGATCTCAGTATTACCGACGAGATGCTTTGTTGGTAAGTATTTTTTTTTCCGTTTACAATCGAAACTCTAAAGTTGGCGACTGGACATTCACTGTTTATGGTGTTCTAAATCGGATGTCAGGAATCCTGAAAATGACCAAGTACCGATCATCACACGGAAGGAGAATGCCATGGAGTGATGATGTTCGTTGATTTCTTATTTTGTTGGTGAATGATTTTAAAAGATGATTTATTATTATTTTTTAGCATTTATAATATTATTGAATTTTTTAAATTTCATCATTTTCCATAATTTTACCACACTAAATCCTAAACAATTTACCATATTTTTCTTACACTACCAAGTAACACCTAAACAATCCCTTATTTCACATGATTTTACCATTAATACAACGTTTTTCCCGCGCATGTGCGCGGGCAGTCACCTAGTTAAATTAAAACAAAGAACAACACACTTATAGATTTATATATGGCCTGAGCTGGATCGGTTGATAATAAATCCTTATTATGTATATATATTGGCAACTAAGTCATGAACTTATCTGTTAAATTGATTATATCTACGTATTTTCTACCGAATATCCTATGTTTATTCGAATATGCTTTATTTAAATAATGATTTTGACTTTCCTAAATGATAATTAATCTTCATGACTATATGTATCCTGATTGTCACTCCTCAAATGTCAACTATAAGAGTTGAATAACTCGACTACAAAAAACGAGGAAGATGGAGAAATTTGAAAACCTTTCGACTTATTTTGGAACTACAATAACTTCTAGTTCAAATTTACACGAAACATTAAATGATAAAAACTTGCAACACTCCTTATTTTAATGTTACAAATGCAAACTATATTGCAAACAAAATAATTGCAAAGTTGGAATTATATTATATATATATATATATATATAATTGGTCAACGGTTACAAGTAATGCCATTTATGTACATAATTTAATCCAACAAGACAAACTACAAACTGAATTCGTGTCTACACTACTTTTTTTTTTTTACGACGTTAATTAAGCTACTATTTTTAGAAACTTGAATGTTATCGGTTTGGGCGTTAGGGTTCGGTTCGGGTTTTTTAGATTTTCGAATTTGGGCCTCTACATCTCATTCGGATATTTTATATATTCGGATCAGGCTCGCTTCGGTTTATTTCGAATTCGAATAGGATAAAACAATTAGCCTAAAATATTTTAAAATACTCGAAAATAATCAACTTACCAAAAAACCAAGTATAAAAAACTCAAACTATCCAAAAGTATTCTAAAATATTTGATTTACCCAAAAACTCATGTTAAAATTATACCCAAATTTTCTGAAAATATTCGAAAGTGTGTGAATTACCAAAACTTTGGATTTTTCGGGTACTAGTTTGGATTTTGGTTCGATTCGGGTATTACCCAAATCTAAAATATCATATTACCAAGATCCATTCGGATATTTTACAATAACAGATTCGGATCGGGATCAGGTATTTTGGTTCACGTTTTGGTTTTCGGATTTTGGATTTTTGCCCATGCCTAATACATGAGCTGCACATCTATAGAAATGCTCATATATTTCCTTATCTGGAGACAGATTGAGGGTGCTTCTATTGACTATAAGTCTAAAACCCAATTGAATTATTTGCAAAATAAATAATTAAGAAGAAAGAGGGGATCACGTTGCTTGCTTACATATGTTTCCCTATCAAGAAACCTTTTAATTTTTTTTATTTAATGTGCTTCTCTTTCTTCTTCTCTATAAATTACCAGCATAATTATTTATTTCTAATCACCACATATCTTCTCTCTCTTAGCCTCTCCTTCAACTCTCCATAGAAGTTCTTAATCTCCTTCAAAGCTGATTAAGGTGAATATTACTTTCCTTCGTCGAATTTAATTTGTTTATACCATTTCATGTTGGGTTTTTTGGTCTTAATTCCAAAGATATATTAACATAGGTATCTTTCTAAAGTTTTGTTTCAAAATTTTGGCCATAGAGAGGTCAAATGCTCTGTTCCTAGATATATTAATAGAAGGAGAACGTACCATAATATATTTGAAAACTCCAAATGAAAATATTTCATAAGCGAGAAATAATGACATGAAATCTTGGAATCTTTGTCTTGTCTGATTATAGAGCTCAAGGTAATGGCTGAAAAACAACTAGGAGTGCTAAAGGCACTCGATGTTGCGAAGACGCAACTTTACCATTTCACGGCGATTGTCATCGCCGGTATGGGTTTCTTTACGGACGCCTACGATCTCTTTTGTGTTTCCTTGGTCACCAAGCTTCTTGGCCGCCTCTACTACTTCAATCCAGCGTCAGAAAAGCCTGGCTCACTTCCCCCTCATGTTGCGGCTGCAGTCAACGGTGTGGCCCTTTGTGGAACCCTTGCTGGTCAGCTCTTCTTCGGATGGCTCGGTGACAAACTTGGACGGAAAAAAGTGTACGGTATCACTTTGATCATGATGATTGTTTGCTCAGTTGCTTCCGGTCTCTCGTTTGGCAATACGGCCAAGGGTGTCATGACGACTCTTTGCTTCTTCAGGTACAATTTTTGTAGCCACAAGCCTAATATCGTATACGTCGCAGATACAAGCTCGAGACTCGAGAGATTAGTCACTATTTCGACCTAGATTATGGTTACTTAAAATATTGATATCTTGACGATTATGTATAGGTTTTGGCTCGGGTTCGGCATTGGAGGTGACTACCCTCTATCTGCCACCATCATGTCTGAATACGCTAACAAGAAGACTCGTGGGGCTTTCATCGCGGCAGTGTTCGCTATGCAAGGTGTAGGTATCTTGGCGGGAGGTTTTGTGGCACTCGCAGTGTCTTCTATATTCGACAAAAAGTTCCCATCGCCGACGTATGCCCAAGACAGGATTCTCTCAACGCCTCCTCAAGCTGATTATATTTGGCGAATCATTGTCATGTTTGGCGCTTTACCCGCGGCTTTGACCTACTACTGGCGTATGAAGATGCCTGAAACTGCCCGCTACACTGCTTTAGTTGCCAAGAACATTAAGAAAGCCACACAAGACATGTCCAAGGTCTTACAAGTGGATATTGAGGTTGAAGAAAGGGCGGAGGACCCCAAACTAAACTATGGCTTGTTCTCCAAGGAATTCCTTAGACGCCATGGGCTTCATCTCCTTGGGACTACCTCCACTTGGTTTTTGCTTGACATCGCCTTCTACAGCCAAAACTTGTTCCAAAAGGATATTTTCTCGGCCATTGGATGGATCCCAAAGGCAGCCACTATGAACGCCATCCATGAGGTTTTCAAGATTGCTAAGGCTCAGACTCTCATTGCCCTTTGCAGTACAGTCCCAGGTTACTGGTTCACGGTTGCTTTTATTGATATCATTGGAAGGTTTGCGATCCAACTAATGGGATTCTTTTTCATGACGGTCTTTATGTTCGCCATTGCCTTCCCATACAACCACTGGATTTTACCAGATAATCGTATCGGATTCGTGATTATGTACTCACTCACATTTTTCTTCGCCAACTTTGGACCCAATGCAACCACTTTCATTGTCCCAGCTGAAATCTTTCCGGCCAGGCTTAGATCTACGTGCCATGGAATATCAGCCGCGACAGGTAAGGCTGGAGCTATCGTTGGAGCCTTCGGGTTCCTATATGCTGCTCAGCCACAGGATAAGACCAAGACAGACGCAGGATACCCACCGGGCATCGGAGTCAAGAACTCACTGATCATGCTTGGTGTCATTAACTTTGTTGGTATGCTCTTCACCTTCCTCGTCCCTGAGCCCAAAGGCAAGTCCCTTGAAGAACTCTCCGGCGAGGCTGAGGTTGATAAATGATTATGCTGTGATATATTTGTCATTGGTTTTGTGCATTCTTACCTTTTACGTTTTTTTGCGATAAGTGAATTATATTTGCAATGGTGTACTACTTCTACTTTTGCTTTTTGTTTTAATGTGTGTGTAACTTGTTAAGAAGTAAACTGATGTTATGTTCATAACTGTGAAATTCTAGCCGCTTAACACGGCCCATGAATACACATGAAATAATAGCTATCTTTTTATATATATAAATCTCTATATTATTTTCACCTTTTTAAAACCCAACAATATATCCAACGTCTGTAGATTATTATTCATTGGTAAAAAAATTTCAAGTGGAATTAGGCCATATAGAACTAGATTTAACAATCTAACCAACTATGTATAATGCTATAAGTTTGGAAGCAATAAAGACATGAACAATCAAACGAAAAATATGCTTATTGGAAAGTTTGACATGAATGATATAAGGGCTAGCGGATGTAATTTTAGGGATCAATATCACTGTTGAGGGAGTTATTGGGCCTTAGAGATACAAGGCCCAACCTGAGGAAGGAAGCCCGTCAATGAAGCGGGCCGAGGCCCAAAGGCAGTAAAGCCCAGACGATCTCACCGCCATACGGATCCGCCACGTCATCACACCCAAGGGTAAAATCCGTAAAAGTTGTCAGAGTATGCCCTACTCTGCAGGGCTATAAAAGCAGGACGTCTAGTCCTGTCACATCCATCGAAAATCACGCTGACACGGCAAAAACACGAAGAGCTCGGCAAGGACACGAAGAACTCGGCTAGAATACGAAGAACGATCTTAATCTTAAAGAAGAGAAGCGACCACGAATCTCGTTTAGCTCGGAATACGACCCACAGTTCGTCAAAAAGACGACCTGGCATCTTTAGTCCGAAGTCATTCATTTCAGCTCGTCTAGAACCATTTGTTATCCCGGCTCGCATTGTTTAGGGAGATTCTTTTTACTTCCCTTGAGAAACCCTATTTCGTACTTGTGTGATTCGTGCATCAACAGTTGGCGCGCCAGGTAGGGGGATAGCTCAGAGATTTCTCCAGTCAACAAAACGAGCCCGAGACAGCAAAATGGCAACAGATGGAAACCAGGGAACCATCACTGGTGTCCGAGACGACAACGCATCCTCCACGGGAGGAGAGACAGTGACGCCGACCCCACCAGGACTACTTCCGAAAAGGAAGGCTACCCATACCTCGGTAGCTATTCCCGTATCGTTACCTCAGACGCCCGAGGGCCCAGCAGAAGCAGTAAGAAACGAAATACCCCTGGCACACCAGGAAGAAGGCGAACCGACCTCTCCCAGCAGACGACGCCTAACAAACCTCGAGGAAACCCGTGCAGAACAGCACGCTGCGGCGCCAACTCCCGCCGAGCCAAACCGGCTGCTCCAGAACATCCTCGACCATCTAGGTCGACAGGACGCACGAACAGATGCTCGGTTCGCATCTCTAGCCGCGGCTAAAGCATTCTCCATGGACGAGATCAACCGTCTGAAAACGAGTCGAAGCGCAAATGCTGTCTACGCCCCAGAGCTCCCCGGACGTCCCCAGGCAGCTCAGCCCGTCCAAACAATGGGCATCACCAATCCGCGAGATACGGAGATTGCCGAACTAAGACGCGCTGTCGTGGAAATGAGCTCGAAAATTCACCGTGCCACTAGCTCGGCTCCGGAACTCGACCGCGTACTCGAGGAAACTCAGCAAACCGCTTTCACCCGAAGAATCACAAGCGTTTCCGTCCGCGGATCCAAGAAAATCAAATTGGAAAGGTACAACGGAAAGGGCGACCCTAAGGAATTCCTTTAACTTTTTTTTTTTTTGAATGAAAAAAATTCTAGTTAAGATATTTCCTTTAACTTTTTTTTTTTTTGAATGAAAGATATTTACTTTTACTTCATGAAGCAAGAGAGGCTTAAATGGCTGAAAAACAACTAGGAGTGCTAAAGGCACTCGATGTTGCGAAGACGCAACTTTATCATTTCACGGCGATTGTCATCGCCGGTATGGGTTTCTTTACCGATGCGTACGATCTTTTTTGCGTGTCCTTGGTCACCAAGCTCCTTGGCCGAATCTACTACTTCAACCCGACGTCAGCGAAGCCTGGCTCACTTCCCCCTCATGTTGCGGCCGCGGTCAACGGTGTGGCCCTCTGTGGAACCCTTTCTGGTCAACTCTTCTTCGGATGGCTCGGTGACAAACTCGGAAGGAAAAAAGTGTACGGTCTCACTTTGATCATT